CCTATACCATATGTAGCATCAATTAAAAGATAATCATTCAGCACACCTTCTGAATAGTTGTAATCCTTTATTCTCAGTGTATAAGAAAAGACAACATTTTGGCTAAAGTAGTAGCTTTTTTTTTTAACATGGTGGTTGCTACATCTAAGTGCTGCTTCAAAGTGTGTTATTGGAGATCAACTGGAGGTAATCTGAGGTATACAGGAGTAAAAAAATTAAAATAAAACATTTTAAGATTTGTTTGCTTTAAATTATTCACCTCATTAAAATGGTAGACTTAGTTCAGTGTAATAGTGGTTATGCATTTGTTTCACGTACCACTTTTTGGAGATTTGTTTGCAGTCTAATCTGTAGACAGTTCTCTATATTGCAGCAGGAGATTGTATTCTTGAAGTCTGAGATTTGTAAATTATCTGGTAAACAAACTCTGGCTGGAATTGCTGAAAAGCCACTGCCTCAGACGTAACAGGAATGGCAGATGGATTAGTGTAGGATCTGGTAGACTTAGAGTTGTGGATAAAATGCATATTGCACAGTTTGTTTCTCTACATAATTCATTTTCAGCACTTTCAGAGTGTAATGGTGTTAAGGAGACCAAACTCAGGCACCAAGTGTAGTAGTGTTATGGCGACAGGCTCAGGCACAAAGTGTAGTGGTGTTGTGGAGACAGGCTCAGGCACCAGCTGTAGTGGTGTTGTGGAGACAGGCTCAGGCACCAAGGGTAGTGGTGTTGTGGAGACAGGCTCAGGCACTGAGGGTAGTGGTGTTGTGGAGACAGGCTCAGGCACTGAGGGTAGTGGTGTTGTGGAGACAGGCTCAGGCACTGAGGGTAGTGATGTTGTGGAGACAGGCTCAGGCACTGAGGGTAGTGGTGTTGAGGAGACAGGCTCAGGCACAGAGTGTAGCGGTGTTGTGGAGACATTTTCAGGCACCGTGTGTAGTGGTATTATGGAGACAGGCTTGGAGACTATGGTTATGTCAGGGTGGCGGTCCAGTGACCAGGACACAGACACTGTCTGGGCGGTGGTTCAATGACCGGGACCCAGTATGCCGAATGTTGAAGTAGGAGTCACAGTGTGGAAGTGGATTAGCAGGGTCAGGTGCAGGGTAGCCACACGCCCCCTGGTGTTGAGCACCAGCGTTTGTGTGGCCACATACCAGGATCCTGATGCAACTTCAGCGGATCCCAGGAACTAGGAGCATGGAAATAAGCAGACATCCCAGGAGCTGAATAGGTAGGCTCTGCAGCAGGAATGTATCCAGTACCGAAACAAGGCAAGACTAGAACAGACACCAAACATGAAAACAAGACAGAACTAGTAGAACCCAGAACCAGAGAAGAATAGGAAGCTAAACCCAGAACATGTACACAATACATAAGGGAAACATTAACAGAACAAGGGTAGGACAGGACAGGACTGTACATGGACTGGGAATACAAAATAAAACAAGACAAGATATGATAGGCAAAACAAGAGGAGAAATACCTAAGCACTATATGTGAAAAATGTGGGGATTTAGTTATTTCTCCTCTTGTTTTGCCTATCATATCTTGTCTTGTTTTATTTTGTATTCCGAGTCCATGTACAGTCCTGCCCTGTTTATGTTTCCCATATGTATTGTGTACATGTTCTGGGTTGGCTTCCTATCTTTCTCTGGTTCTGGGTTCTATTAGTTCTGTCTTGTTTTTCATGTTTGGTGCCTTTCCTAGTCTTTCCTTGTTTCTGTACTGGAGACATTCTTCAGCCCTATTCAGCTCCTGGGAGGTCTGCTTATTTCCTAGCTCCTAGTTCCTGGGATCCGCATAAGCTGATTCAGGGTCTTGGTATGTGGCCACACAAACGCTGGTGCTCAACACCAGGCTTATCAATAAACTGAAATCTTTAAGTTTGGATTCCAATATTGTTGAATGGGTAAGGCAGTGGCTGAGTGACAGTCAGAGGGTTGTAGTCAATGGACTCTATTTGAAGCATGACTTGTCACCAGTGGGGTACCTCAGGGATCTGTACTTGGACCCATTCTCTTTAATATTTTTATTAGTGATATTGCAGAAGGTCTTGATGGTAAGGTATGTATTTTTGCTGATGATACAAAGATATGATGTTCCAGGAGGGATAAGCCAAATGGCAAAATATTTAGGTAAACTAGAAAAATGGTCAGAACTGTGGCAACTGACATTTAATGTGGATAAGTGCAAGATAATGCATCTTGGACGTAAAACCCCAAGGGCAGAGTACAGAATATTTGATAGAGTCCTAACCTAAACATCTGAGGAAAGGGATTTAGGGGTGATTATTTCTGATGACTTAAAGGTAGGCAGACAATGTAATAGAGCAGCAGTAAATGCTAGCAGAATGCTTGGTTGTATAGGGAGAGGTATTAGCAGTAGAAAGTGGGAAGTGCTCATGCCATTGTACAGAACACTGTTGAGACCTCACTTATTGGACGCAGTACTGGAGACCGTATCTCCAGAAGGATATTGATACTTTAGAGAGGGTTCAGAGAAGGGCTACTAAACTGGTTCATGGATTGCAGGATAAAACTTACAAGGAAAGGTTAAAGGAACTTAACATGTATAGCTTAGAGAAAAGACGAGACGGGGGGATATGATAGAAACATTTAAATACATAAAGGAATTCAACACAGTAAAGGAGGAGACTATATTTAAAAGAAGAAAAAATACCACAATAAGTGGACATAGTCTTAAGTTAGAGGTTTTAAAATAATAGCTGAGAGGGTAGTGGATGCATGGAATAGCCTTCCAGCTGAAGTGGTAGAGGTTAACACAGTAAAGGAGTTTAAGCATGCGTGGGATAGGCATAAGGCTCTCCTAGCTATAAGATAAGGCCATGGACTAATAAAAGTATTTAGAAAAGTGGGCAGACTAGATGGGCTGAATGGTTCTTATCTGCCGTCACATTCTATGTTTCTACGTTTCTACGTTACTGCCACACGTCAGGCTCCTTCACATTGACTTGTGAAGGAGCCCGACAACTTATACAGTGTTCACAATCCCAGTACGCATGCAATACATGAACTTTGAAAATCACTGAGGAAGGGATAAGGCATTTTTCTAACAGAGGTGGAGTGGGTATATTGCTTTAACAATTTTAACACATTGCTAGAGATAAGCAGACAAGTAGCTATATGTAAGGAAGCAGGGAGAGGGTCCACCTTCCACCATAATCTATGCAAAGAACATAGGGTGATTTGGTTTTTGAAATGCAACCAATAACAAACATCCTACAAAGCCAGATTTAAATAACTTTTATGTCTCATAGAATACCATACATTAGAGTCAGTCACTATTTCTTAGTGACATCTTAAATGTACTTGTAGCTTCTTTACTAAACAGTGAAATGTGTGGGCTGAAAGCTGATTTGCAAGAAAATTCTGTTACTTTTCCAAAATATATTTTGGAGAAAACCAATAATTTTCACTTAGCTATATTTCATTGTTTAGTAATTAATCGCCTTGGATTAAAACATTTTTTGAAATCTCTTTGTAGCTGCTAACCAATCTTTTAGTCTTCTTTGTACTATCTCAGAAATATAAAATACATTATTCAAATGGTACGTGATTATCTGAAGAGCCAATTATCATCTTAAATGGGAACCCTTGTTATAAGCTTAAATTTGAAGCTATTACTTCTCTTTATGTAGAATGTCTAGAGTGATTTCAAAGCTTTCCTGCAATGATAAAAAAGAAGTGGGCAAAACTAACCATTAATCTTAAAGAAAGGCCATATTACATTCTGAATATAAGAAATTGTTTCAGATGTAAAGTAGCAGCGTAATAGCTTTTTATGTATTTCCATATTTTGACAAGCCCACAGCTATTCTTTGTAGACATTAGTTGCTGAGCATGGAAAAAAAGATGTAACAATGCTAAGAGCTGTAAAAAAAATTTTTAAGAATGTTATTTGGCTTACAGAACCCATGGGGAGATGTACATCTGTTGCAATTAATATTCTTAATTGTATTTACTTAGTTTTGTCAGAATAAGCATGGTTTATAACAAAACAAAACAAAAAAAATATCATGGCATCAGCATTTTTATGGAGATAAGCCTAGACCACAAACATCATTAGAGCCATATCATTTTAATTTTAGTCTGTTGTAGGATGTAATTTTAGCAATGTGAAAAACAATGGACAAATAAGACTTAACCTATAAGTGCTTTATACACAATCCACCTCCAAAATGGTGAACCAGCTTGCAGGATACAGTGGTGTATTTTGGATTTGTGCTGCCCTAGGCATGACTAAATTTAGACACCCCCTAGTCTTAATTTGCCCCACCACTTTGTGTCAAGATCACATTTTTCACTGACAGACACACGCCCTCATTGATAAATACATTGATATACAGTCACTGATAGATACATAGTTATTGGCACACACATACAGTCATTGGCACACCCACTGACAGGCGCACACTCTAAGATACACATACACTAACATACACTCACTGACAGAGACACACACTCACAGACACACACATCCTCACTGATTTGACACACTGTGACAGACACACACACATTCACTCACTCACAGACACACACTGACAGCTACACACACTCGAGGACAGCTACACCCACTCACTGACAGACATACACACTCACAGACAGACACACACACACTCACTGACAGACACATACACAATTAAATTTTCTCAAACGCTCACCAATTTTTCATATTTATTGAGAGCTGGAGTAGATCCTGTCCCTGACTGCTGCTGGGCTGGTTGGCCAGGCTGACTGGGCTCCTTGCTGGGCTGCTGGCTGTCTTGGTTGTGCTGGCTGTGCTGGCTGTGCTGGCTGGGAGGGCGCTCAGTGGAGGTGGTTTATTTACTGAGATTGTGGATTTGGGGTTTTCAGGAGCTGTAAGCCATAATCATCGCACTTCTGACAAATCACGGCTTGAGACATCTTGCTTTGCATGTAATGAGTCTATCTCATATATTAGCTTCCCCTTTTACATTGCATTACTGAAATAAATGAACTTTTGCACGATATTCTAATTTTTCGAGTATCACCTGTACATCTATTTCAGACCATCCGCAAATTGTCGAAGTTTCTTCACCACGTACGACTGAGGTTTCCCTCCAACAGCCGGCCACTGGTGTCCAGGAACAGGGATCCACTGCTGAGCGTAAGTAAAATATGCTTTAACTGTACACATTTTCTTTGCAGGCATACTAGTTTATGTAACAGGCAGGGCAGGGTCAACTGCTAAGCAAACTAGGCTTCTGCCTAGAGCGCACTGGCCAGGGGGCTCAATGTCTGGGTGACGCGCACATTGCTCCTCTCCTTCTGTTCACTTTATGTACTTTGGCTGAGTGGACCACGGGTGTATGATCTTCTGTACCATCTACTTAGCCTGACAGGAAGCTGAGTGCAACGATCAGCTTCCTGTCATGCATAAGAAAAAGAAGATTCACTACCTGGGGATGCTCGGCCACGATACATGTAGTGAGATTAAAAGCAAAGGGAGCTGGGCACAAAGAGATGCGTTGAGGGGTCACAAAGAGAGAGAGAGAAAGGGCTGGGGGGGACAAAATTGCATAACTATACTTAGACATAGTAATAAATTAACAGCATGACTGCATGTATCTTATTTCCAAGTTTAAATAATATTGTTGTAAAGATAATAGTTAGCATTGCAACATATGACACATGCTAACAATGTCCTTTCTCTGTTCTCCCCTATAGGTTCTGAAGGTGCTCTCCCCCTACAAGAGGAGGGTACCATTACCCTTACAGCAGTGGATCCTGGTTCAGTGACATAAGTGGCTGAAGAAATCCCGTTGCCACTACTTCCTTCACAGGTGGCTGCACTGTATGAGACGATCCAGGCTCGCCCAGCTGAACTGGAGACGTCCATACATCAGGATAGGGAGAATCAACGAGAACTCTTCGAGAATGTAATAACTGAGGTACGCTCCATGTCAAACATTTTGAATAAGGGCGTTAGGCAAATTACAACAGCAATGGTTTCCTTGGAGCAAAATATGCAGGGCTTTATGGAAATGAGGGAGGAAGAGTGCATTCTGATGCACGCCTAAGCTGCCCATAATTTGGCCATAACCATTGCTGATGTAGATAACCTAATTCGTGAAAGACGTGTGCAGGGTCTTCCCAGAAGGGATGATGATGATGAATAGATATCTGCAGGTAGAATGCACTCAGATGTTTATTTCTCATTATCATCCACAATGAATGGGTAAGGCAGTGGCTGAGTGACAGGCAACAGAGGGTTGTAGTTAATGGAATATATTCGAAGCTTGGACTTGTCACCAGTGGGGTACCTCAGGGATCTGTACTTGGACCCATTCTCTTTAATATTTTTATTAGTGATATTGAAGAAGGTCTTGATGGTAAGGTATGTCTTTTTGCTGATGATACTAAGATATGTAACAGGGTTGATGTTCCAGGAGGGATAAGCCAAATGGCAAATGATTTAGGTAAACTAGAAAAATGGTCCAAATTGTGGCAACTGACATTTAATG